GCCACCAACCATAGCAAGGGTCAAGAATGGAGGCTACCCAAGTCAAGATGAAGGCTCTCCCCACCTACTCCTTTGTGTATAAATAGAGACGGGAGGGAGAGGATGAGACACAGATCAGAAATTAGAGAGTGAGAGCTGTGAGTTGAGTGAGTTTTATCTCCTCCTCTGTATTTGTATTTTGCTCCATTTTAGTGAAAAACTTCTCATTTCTGTCCGTGGATGTAGGCATTGGGCCGAACCACGTAAATATTGTGTTCTCTGTGTGTGTGAGATAATTTTCTGGGTGTCTTTGATCCTAACAATAGGAAGACAAGTTGGCTTGGAGGAGAACAAGTGCAAGCACAACGTGGAGGCCAATTTGTTCGAATTTTTAAGCCAAAAAAGGTACGTGATTGTAATTGATGATATATGGGACATTGTACCATGGAATGGTTTAAAGAATGGTATTCCAACCAATTCTGAGAAGGGTAGTAGAATAATAATCACTTCTAGGAAAAAAAATGTAGATGTTAATAAAGGAGGAGGTGGGCAAAAATTTCTACATGAGTTGCAACCCTTAGACCAAGAAAATAGTAGAACCCTCTTCTTCAATATTGTTATGGCTGCCTCACAAAACAGTGGTGAAAGTAGTTGTCCCTCACAATTAAAGAAAATTGGTGAGCAAATATTAGAAAGATGTCGTGGTGTGCCACTTGCAATAGTGGTGACAGCGGGTCTATTGTTGTCGAGAGAGAGAACACAACAAGCATGGAAAGAGGTATTAGAGAGCATGGGCCAAGATGAAGACCAATACTCATCTATCTTTGCACTCAGTTATAAAGATTTACCTTCAAAGTTTAAACCATGCTTTCTATACTTGGGACTTTTTCCAGAGGACCATGAAATTTCCACATTCGAATTAATTAATTTATGGGCAGCTGAGGGATTTATACAAGGCAGTGAATTGAGGGAGGTTGAAGATGTCGGGTATGATTACCTAAATCACTTGATAGGTAGGAATCTTATTCAGGTTGTTCGAAGAAGGTTCAATGGAAGGGCTAGAAGTTGTCGCATTCATGATATTTTGCACAATCTTTGCATTCGAGTGGCCAGTGAGATTAATTTCTTTAGCACTCACAATCATGTAACCAGCCATAATTCTGCTTTGGGAATACGCAGAATGACTATCCATGGTATTAATTTTGCTGATTACATATCTTTAAATCATCAAGCTCCCAAGCTTCGTGCTATGTTGTATTTCGGTGAAGGCATGTATAATTTTAGAAGGAATCGATATAAGGATTTTCTTAGCTGGTTCAAATTTCTTCATGTGCTAAGTGTTAGGTATTATTATCTTCCAACTTCTTTTCCCAATGAAATTAGCAATTTGAACCACTTGAGTTACCTTAAATTGGCAGCAGCTGTTGCAGAAATTCCTTACACCATATGCAACTTAAAAAGTCTGATGACCTTGGATCTTAGTGGATGTGACGTAGTCATCATTCCTAATCTTATTTGGAAAATGCAACAATTACGACATATCCTCTTGCCCGATTACTGTAATTATATTTGCAAGGCTCCCTCATTTCGGGAGGTTTCTGTACCAAATCTCCAAACCCTACAAGGGATGTCTACTTCTCTTTTCGAGGCCCAATACTTGCCCCAATACTTGCGCAAACTTAACAATTTGAGAGAATTGGTAGTTGCTCATTCAACCGAGAGTATCATTGAGGTATTATCGGGTGCAACCCCTGTATCACATGGGCTAGAGAAATTGAGCTTATTGGATCCTTGGTCTTTGGAGTTGAGTCTGAAAGTAACTTCCAGAACATTCAATCTATCTCGATATGAAAATCTGTCTAAGTTGAGTCTGAAAGTACGAGTGGAGTGTCTTCAACATGACAAATTTCCCCCAAACCTCACCATGCTTACCCTTAAGTACACTTATTTGAAGGAGGACCCGATGGACACTCTGAAGAAACTCCCGAAACTAAAGATCCTCAAATTGTGCTGCAAATCATATAATGGGGGGGAGATGGTTTGCTCTGGAGAACCTGGTAACTTCCCTGAACTTGAAGTATTGCGAATTGAAGACATGAGAAATCTGTGGCAGTTCATAGTTGAAGAAGGAGGAATGCCAAAACTCAAAGACTTCTCCTTCATTGATTGCAATCCAAAAACAAGGATTCCAAATAGAATCAAAAGCATATTGATGATTTACCGATTAAAAGGTCAGTTTAATATTTTTTTTTTATGTTTTATCTATTCAGTTCTTTAGTATCAATCAATCATTACTTGTAAATAAAAACAAACAATTGGGTACCCCTTGCCCAAGAGAGAAACAACGTAGGTTTTGTTTTCTACCCATAAACTGACTCTCTCCCAAGATACAACGATCAAGTCAATTGCACTGTGGTTTGTGTGGGTGATATTCACCATTGTAATATCACCCCACTGCTGGGATTGATTTATCAGACTCTGGAAGCACGTGATTTATCCACGAGGTTCTATCATCGAAAGGTATGATTTGATTATTTTATCCGCTACATAATTGTTTGTTTTTATTTACAAAAAGAAGATATGAAAATTTTTCTTTGGTGTAAAAGCCATCTCCAACTTTTTATCTCAAAAGTTAGAGGAGAAAGGCCTCAATTTATACTAGTAGGGGAGAGTCTTAGCCATAAAGGCTAACATCAATAGGGTCATCAAATGTCATCAACTCTAGCCGTTAGGGCTAGAGTTACAAAGGTTCAAAACTCCAAAACCATTATATAAATCATAATGTGTATATAATGTATAAGTTTTGAGAATTAAAGTAGATGGGTTGCAAAATGGATACGGGTGTTAGGTCACAACCCGATCCAAGCCCAATCTCAAACACATGCACAAATTAATCCTGACATAGCTCAACCCAAAGCTCAAGACTAGGTCCAAGTCCAAGTCTAACACCAAACCCAGCACATGCACAAGTGCAAGTCTAGTCTCAGTCCAAATCTAAACCCAACTTTATTAATGCCACTTTATAAGACAATTCTCATTCACAACTCAATAGTTTCAGCTCATTATTTTTGTATTACAATCTTCTCACTTAAGATAATACAAAACCACTCAGAGCCACCCCCACCAGCGGTTAGGTCCCACTTTAATTTAGAATTAAAGTTACTGAAAAATCATTATTTTCCACCAATCCCCCCCATTAATAAAATTGGCTGAATAAAGAAAACCGGTCAACGCTTAACAACAAAGACTCGGAGAGAGACCACATAGAATAGCCCTACATCAGAAAAGGTAGTTGTTGGCCTTAAACCTTTCATAGTGAATGCCTATCGGATTTACTAGCTGACTAGTGAATGTGATGTCTTGAACTGTTCTGTCGTTTGTGTAAATCGAGACAATAGACCTCACACAGGAGTTACTCCAACCATTATTCTTATTCTCACTAGAGTGTCCGGTTTGGCCCTGGAATACTAGCCTGGTTCAGTGAGTGTTTTTAAAGAATTTAGCCTTGTCAATTCTTAAAGAAGCGGCCTCACTTTGCACTAAGATAGGTGACCTACATAAGGTATTTCTCTATACCACGATTGACTATTCACAACACTTAGGTCATTAAAAGCATCAACTTAACCTCCCACCCCACAGGGTATCACTGTATAAAGAAATGGGTAGGAGGATTTACCTCCATAGTGACTCATCCATTACACGCAATTAGGTTGTCCCTTTAAACCTAGATCTTGGAATCTCCAGTCAACTAGGTTAGGTTTTCCATTCCAGTAACATTACTAAAGGCCTTAACCCCATTCCTATTGACGGCGTTTCTACTAACTCTCGAGTTAATCCTTTGGTTAGCGGATCCGCAATGTTGTCCTTGAACTTTACATAGTCTAGAGATACAACTCCATTAGAGAGTAGTTGTCGTATGAAATTATGTCTATGACGGATATGTCTAGACTTTTCATTATACATATGACTCTATGCCCATCCAGTCACCGATTGGCTATCACAATGAATACAGATAGCAGGCACAGGTTTCGGCCAACGTAGAATATCTTCAACGAACTGGCGAAGCCATTCAACTTCTTCAGTTGCTTTATCCAAAGTAATAAACTCAGATTCCATCATAGATCTCAATATACACGGTCGCTTGGAAGATTTCCAAGACACAGCTGCCCCTCTGAGGGTAAACACATAACCACTAATGGATTTGGAGTCCTTTATATCAGATATCCAATTAGCGTCATTATACCCTTCTAATACCGCTAGTATCTGCTATAATGCAGCCCATAATCCCGGGTGTAGTGTAGATAACCTAACACTCGCGTAATGCCTCTTCAATGAGTGGCATTCGGATTACTCGTGTATCTACTAAGCCTGCTAATAGAGTAGACTATATCCACCCTTGTGCAACTCATCAGCCACATTGAACTTCCAATGACCTGAGAATATTCTAGCTGAGAGACACTCTCACCATTATTATTGGTCAAATGTAGACTCACGTCCACCAGTGTCCTAGACACACTTGTATATAAATAAAAGGGAAGAAGGCTGGGAAAAGGAATTTGTTACTAGAACTACATTTGAAATGGCTGCTGATCATTTACAGTTTCTGAAGAACAAATTCATCAATGGCTTTGAAGAAGCAGAGCGGGAAGAATTCATAGAATTCCCTCACCGGCTTCATTTTGTTGAGATTTCAGAGATCTTACGTCAAAAGAGGATTGACCCCTGGACACCCATAGGACTGAAAGATCCTCTGTATAACCTCAAGTTTGCATTGGCTGATTGTGTCATGTTAGCAGAGAATGAGAGAGACCGCATTACTGAAAGAAAGAAAAGTCTCTTATTAAGCTCTCATCATTATGTCAATAAGCAATGGTTTCTTTTCAAGATGAAGAGGAAACTTCTCCGCATAAAAAATGAGTTGCTACAAAACATAAGCGATGTTAACGTTGTAGACATTGCAGATGAGAGGCTTTCGTCGTCGAGCTTGATCAAGGTTTGTCGACCAACAGACTTTCCAGATTTCAATCTCGATCTGATTCATGGTTGCAATAATCATTTGCGAAAGATGGAAGCTTTGCTCCTAACTACTACATTTGATACAGATAATTTTAGTGCAATTGGTATCATAAGGAGGATCAGGTAAAACTACTCTTGCTCAAATGGTGTTCCATAGCTGTAGTGTCCAAGAAAGTTTCTCCCCAATGTCATGGATTGAGTTACCTTAACATCCGGATCTGAGATCCGTTGTCTTGGCTATTCTTGAATGCTTGGAAAGTGATTTCTCTTTGTCTGGCAACACTTCTGATCTTGATGATCATTTGCACAATATGTATCTTTACTTGTTTAATAAGAAGTATTTGATCGTGTTGGACAACATGTGGCCCGCTTCGAGTGATGATTTGGATTTCAACAAGTATGTAACTCCACTCTGGAATGGATTTTTTAGGGGAAGTGGGAGTGTCATCATCGTCACTAGTAGACTGAAAGAAGTGGCAAGTGAGATGGTGGGTGAGCTCAACTTGTATGAACTTGAGCCCATATTGGACAAAGAGTCGTGTTGGCACATAATTCTAGATTCAATTAGAAAGAAGTATTTGTATCACCAAATATTACGAAAAATGAAAGATGACATGGTAGATAGGTGTGGTGGTCTTCCATTAGCTACAAAGACCTTAGCTGAGATAATTTCAACCGAGTAAATTTTCTAACTCAAATCTAGCCATTTTAATTTTGGTCTTTCTTGGTTTTGCCTTGAAATCTTCTACTAGGTTAATGATTCACTGCAACATCAAATTCAATCTAGAATTATAGGGTTATGGTTTCGATCCATGTGATGAATGTCTTTTCTCCATGTCAATACTTGCCTGTTTGGTTGGGTTTTTGTTTTTTGTTTGTCTTTTTTAGAAAACTCAAACAGTGAATTGTTTCTGAAAACAACCCACTATTTAGGACACTCCAAAAAGTTGTTTTCAAATTTTTGAAAACTGTTTTCGGGAAGGAAAAAAAATTTGAAAATGATATGTGAACTATGAGTTCTTTTGAACTTTTCATTGTTTTGTTTCCAAAAATATGAAAAACAGAAAACAAAAACACAACCAAATTGCAGCCTCACTCTCTCTCTCTCTCTAACATACTACTGTTACATGCTCAGGTTTTTGAAAGATCTGACTACAATTATGGTCTGGTTCCCTCACTTTCTTCAACATTCAGTTTCATTTCTACATTTAAATCCTTTTTGTGGGTTCTGAACATCCATGTTGTTTAATCAATTTTTAATTTACGATTTCATTTCCCATTGTCTCTACCACAATTGGGATTTAAAAGCTTGGCCAATTCTAACTTACAGCTGAGGTTGTTTTCAATTTGTTCTTCCAGATGTTTCACTTGGTATTCAATAAACCTGTTGCACCCACCTCAGAGGTCCTGAAGAAACTTAGGACCTATTCAGGTATATCAAGGCTAACATTTTTCTTTTTCTCTTCGTTATTTTTCTTTGAAAAATTTCTTTTCATATGAAAAAACTAGTCTTACTAAAGCATTTATGATGTAGCACCAAAAGAACAGAATAAGAAGTTAGAGAAAGAAACTAGGGAATCACAATCTGAAATCAATATCTTAATAATCAACACTCAAATCATATCATAGTCTATGTAGAGAAGTGTTTTGAGAATACTCTTCTGATCCTGGGGGACGCTCTTGATCCTCGAATAGACACCTGAAAGGAAATGAACACTCCGGTTGGGGGTGCCGGAATTAGCACTCCGACGGGCAACTCAGTCTCTACACTCAAGATTACTTATATTCTAAGTTAACCATAATAGTTCTCACATACCTCTTTCTGGCTGATGTTTTTCTATTTATATATTTTCTTTCTTGGGCCTCGGGGCTGGGCCTACCTTTAGTTCTCCATTCGGCTTCTCTTAAAGCAAACTGCTTTTCACTCGACCCCTTACCCAACTAGCCTTTTGACCAAATAGAGTAGGATTTGAAATTGCGAGACGAAACCAAATACTATATTTATATTCCAACTCTCCAAGTTCAGACATTCGGCCTCTTTACGATCCCAAATATTCGGCCCCCACAATTGCCCCCCAAGCACCCCACTAATGACAGTTGGTTGGAGTGTTTGGTTTTGAACTCAAAAAGTCAGGACCGAAATTCGGCAGCTGACCTCATTCCAATGTAGATGTCTGAGCACATGCTTCTCGGTCATCATTTCAACTTCCCGCCCCTTCGTACACTTCTATTTATTATGATTTAAAATTTGGACGTCCTTTCAAATACATACACACTTTCAGATACTTGTCTCTGGACTTCCTTCTGAATTATCTCTGCAACTTCCTTTCCTTCACTATCCTCTTCGTCTCTTGTAAGTTTTCTCCCTCTCTGCTCTAAATCCTTTCTTCCTGTTTTGTTTTTGGTTTAGAATATACCTTTAAACTGAAGAAAATGGCAAAACACTTGAAAGATCTCCTCTCTTCTGATCGAATTTCTGGCTTCCGACATCATTTCTCCATTCCTGACGCTGTCCATCTGTCTCTTGTGATAAACGGCACGCTCGATCTGGAGAGGGCTGATGAAACCATGATCGTCTTCCCTCTCCTATCAATCGCAGAGGGTGGTGTCCGACTTCACCCACTCTTTAGGGCTGTGCTCTGCCATTGGGGTCTAATTCCTTCCCAACCCAATGTCAACTTCTTTAGAATCATAATGGGAATTATAGAGCTAAACCGTCGCCTTAGGATCGTATTCCTGCCATTTGGCATTGTTATGCCCTGGCCAAGTCTTCCGGTCGGCACGGTCGTTATTTCCTTAGGGCCAAGGACACTGACCATCAACTATTGACTATATTTTCTAGCTCTGGGAAGCGAGTCGATGACGTTATGGTCGTTGTCCGAGGCAACTAGAAATTCGGTGAGGGCGAGGATCGCCTCGATCCTATTCCTAGGCAGAGGGGCAAACCAGGTGGCCGTATAGCCTCTTGTGTTTATTTTTCCTTTGTTATATTTGTAAAGCTTAATTTTTGAGTCCTAACGGTTTTGCTTGTGCAGGAAACGATTTGAAGAAAGTTTCGACCTCGACCGACGACGCCGTTCTTTCAGAGATAAAAATTGCGTTGAAATACTTCGACCATCTAAGCCTTCAAAACAAGGGAGGGTGGCCCATATTCTGCTTAAATACAAGTCGACGTACACGACTTTCTCGACAGTAGAAAACATCCCGATTCCAAGGGGCGAGGAGTTTCCAACAGCTCTTATTTTGACCAACTTCAGAAACTTGTGCCAAATAAGCTTCGAAGGATCCGACTCGGAGCATGCAGAAGTTGAGGTCGCTGAAGAATGAGGCTAGTTCAAGGCCAAAGTAGACGAGGCTTTAAGGGTAGCTTTTGAAGAAGCCGGCCTCAATTCAGCCAACCCTCCGTCCACCTCTGGTCGAGGGGAAGTTTACGACGACATCTTTATCAAATTAGAAGATCTTCCCAGCGCGTTTCCTGAAGATATGGCCAGCTTGTCACTTACAAAACTCGCCAAAAAGGCCAACGCCAAACGAATGGCTGCGCGGCGCAGAGCGCAGGCCAATCGATCCAAAGTGGTGCCCGTCGCAGATGTTGAGCCGCCCCTGCCTGTTACTGAGGAGACGATTCAAATACGAGATGCCGAGTTGGAGCCGGTTGTGGTGGCAAATGATGAGGCTGAACGACGATTAGAGAAACGTCTAGAAGAGGAAGTGGGCTATGGAGAAGAGCCTGCCGACAAACGGCTACGTTTAGAGGAGTCGGATACGGTTGTGCCTTTTGTGGTTTAAACAAAGATAAGAAATATGCCGATCTCCTCTGACGCGTCGGCTATAAAAGACCCAGCCGTTGCGCTAAGAATGGCTTTATCAGTTTCATTGCCGTATGATAAGGCGACTTTCCGCTCGAAGCCAGACGTCTTAGCAGTAGCGTTAGCTGCTCAACCGGTTCTTCTGGTAAAGATCTTGATCTTGTCTTTCCTTTCTATGCAT